GTCGAAGGAGAGGAGGCGATCACCAAGCACACTGAGTGGCAGCCAAGAGCAACATCAACGCCAAGGGCTCTGAGTGTGGGAGACCGGGTTTGAATATGGCCTCTGCCATACAACTAAGGCAAGTGGTGTATCATCTCAGCCTCAGTTTTCTCACTTGCAAAGTGGACATAATAATAAGAACAGAGACAGTCAGTGTTGGCTGTTTAGTTGTTGTTTTCAAGCAGGCTTTGAGTTGTGAGCAAGCCTAGGGGGGCGGCCATTCAGTCTAGTCTACCAGAGGCACAAAGACAACCATAATCTCAGCTGTTTCTGGTCCCCCAGAGAGTCTGTCCTCATTCCCCACTGTGTGCTCAGCCTGAGGAATGACACCCCCGTCTGCAACCTTCCGGGTTTCCCAGGCACCTCTAGGGTTCCTCTGTCACCCACAGGCACAGGGCCTGAGGGACAGTTCTACTTATTAGAAATTTCTTTCCTCCCTTAGACATCTGCCTCCTTCCAAGTGTCCACAGCCTCCTTTCACCCTCCAGCTCTAAGCAGAATAAGTCAACCATCCTGCCACCTGACAGCCCTTAAAGTGTTTGAACACAGCTATCACCATGTCTGCCCACTACCCCACGTCTTTTTTTTTTTTTTTGGTTAAACATGCTCCGTTCCAAACAGACCCATGTCCAGTTTTTCCTGCTTATGTATTCGTTTCAGTTTAAGGGGAACATCACAGGAACCATCATCATGACACTTAATCCATCGATGAGTGCTCACCGAGCACAAGACCCGGCAGAGACACCTCAGTTCTATCTACTCCATGGTTGTTGACTCAGCCCTTCAACTCCTATTAAGTGTTGTCCATTTTGATCCTCAAATGACTTCTTGTGAGGAAGGTCAGGCAGTATTCTTCCTATCTTATAGACCACGCAGTTGAGGTTGCCAAAGAGCTGAAATGACGCATTCAGTGTCACGAAGTCCGTCCAGGGGAGGGTGGCCATCCAGTCCTGCTCCTCCACCCACAGGATCCCTGCACTCCCAGACAAGACACAGACAGGAGGATCCGAGAGAGGACCCACAGCAGGCGTTTGTAGACACTCATGGGAAGTGCAGGCTAGAAACGAAGGGGAAATTTCACCAAGAAAAGAGAACTTTCAGAGTCTCGAAGGAATTAAAGAGCAGAAAGGAAACTGGAGGTGTCTCTGGAGCTGTAGTGGGGGCAGGTGACCAAATCATCCAGGTGAGGAGAAGGACGGTTCTTGGGGGCAGCCCGGAGGATAGACAGAGAATACCAAAGTTGAAGAAACGAAGCTGTGATCAGCTCAAGAGAGCCTCAGTCATTCAATGGATGCGTGTCCCTCTGTCTGCCCCCAAGAAACCACTGGTGACTCCGGGGCAGAGGGGAAAAAACAAGAATGACAAAAGCTGTCATTTAGAAGCACTTTCTGGCAGAGACAGGCAGAGCAACCCAAAGAGTAAGTTACAGATGAAAAGAGAAACAATCAAAACGAACACGCAAGACACCATCCGGCTCAGAAAACCTTTGCTCTTGGCAAAGGGGTTTCTGAGGCAGCAAGAATCTCTAGCCATGGAGAGATGATGAAAGGAAGGGCTCACCCTGGGCACCTGGTCCACACGGCCAAGCCTCCACCTCCAACTCCTGAATCGTACGATCCCTGGTCTCAGAACGGTGAGATAGCCCCTGACAAATTAGGGAGGAAATGATATGGGGCCAGAGATGCTAGGAAAATGTGCAAACCCCTGTGCTCTTGGGTTGGTTAGAAATTCCATACTTTAGGTCTTAGTATTGTCAGCCATATCAGAGCAGGGGACTAAAGTACAGAGTTGAAAAAGCTTTTTATTTCCCATGATGAGCTACTGATCATTGTGATACTGACCAAAGCCACATCGATAAGAATAAATTCATTCAAGGTTTATAAGAAATATTCTAGTCACGTGTTGAAAACTTAAGAAGAGAAACCATGAACTAATTAACAAATGTGATAAACATCGGAACACAAAAGTCAGTGCAACTTGCTCCTTTTAAGAGGTGAGGAAACTGAGGTCCAGAGAGGGGATGATTTTCCCGCGTCGCACAGCTGGCCTCTGTCTCTGTGCTCTTTTCACCACCTTTGCCGTAAAGTCACTGTACCGCTCCCACCCTGCGCCGGCACCGACGGGCAGAGATTGTATTTCACCTTCACTCTGCATCTCCAGTGAAACACACCCCTGGGAACCTCAAAGTGATCCACCCTCTTAAGAACATTCCAAATGACGAAATGGAGCCCCAGCCTCCCCACACATGGAGTCTCTGAGCCCATCTCCCGCCTGGCCCTCCCGGGGTCCAGTCTCATCTCCTCACCGGCCACCTCATCTTGTGCACAGAATCCCAGACTCCTGGCAGATGAAGCTTTAAGTTTAGATGCTCTACTTTCCAATTTCCTGGGAAGAGAAGGAAGGGGAAGAGAAAATACATGCGTGAGGCTCTTTAGCAAGTTATACAAAGCCTTCCTTTTTGTGTTCCAAAAATTCTCTTTCGGGCTCATCTAACGTCACTCTTCTTTCCTGTCTCCTGGGCTGTGGCACTGCCATCCACCGAGAACGATCTTTCCCAGAGTCTGCCCCGACAAACTCCTATTCATCCTTAAAGGCCCGCTTCAAACAGCCCTTTCTCTCAGAAGCCTTCCCTGCCTCTGCTTCTCGCCCCTGTCCAAGCGCTATGGGCTGTCTTATTCATTGGACCCCACCTTCACCACTGCCACAGGCGTTCACCCAATTTCTGTTCTCACAGCTGTCATTCCCACTAGATCCTGAGTGTCCTGAGGATCGTGATTATTCATTGTAAATCTCCATGGTCTAAAACAATATTTTATATATAGTACTTATTCAGTGGCTATGGGGACATGATATAAGACAAGCAGTAGGGGAAAGAGACAGAGAGAAACACACAAAACTCCCACGCTCAACCTGCACACCCAGGAAAGGAATCTTGGGAAATGAAATATCTAGAATAGAACTGAGAAATATAATGTGAGGAGTGGTGTGTTGATAAACCAGGTCTCTAAAAAAAAAAAAAAAAGCTCTTTTGGAGCACGTGCCAATTCCCAATTTGCATGGTACAAAAACTTCCACCATAGCTAACTTCAAGCTACCGACCTGACCACACTAAACACAATTGGGAAGAAGGGTACACAATGGCTCTCAAGCTGGTATGAGCCAGCTCCAGCACGCCATTGAATGCAAGCCGCATATGTAATTTCAAATTTTTCAGTAGTCACATTTATAAAACGAAACAGCCAAAATTATTCTTAATATTATTTTATCTCAACATATTCAAAATATTACTTCATCTAATCCTTATAAAGATTATTAATGAGATGTTTTACATTCTTGGTTTCATAGTAAGTCTTTGACATGCTGGTGTACATTTTACACTGCAGCACAGCTCTACTCGGACTAGCTGCATGTAGCTAGTGACTATTGGTGTAGGACAGCACAGACCTAGAATCAGAGTCAGTGCCACACAGAGACAGGCCATCTGCCATTTTTAAGAATTTTGTCAATGGTGATGATTTTTAAAATGGTGCTGCCTTTTTATAACTTCAAGCAGAAACAGTACTTGTCCCATGGGCTAGATTAAATTTAAGAGGAGGTCAGATCTGTTGCACCTTCACAGGACCTCACGCCTCCTCTCAGATGGCTGCTCCGTCAGAATCCTGAGCGCTTACTAATTACCACATTCTGTCCAGCTTTCATTGTGTGAGATTGAAGGCAGCCAGTGCACACCCACCTACACTTTTCCCTCCACCCCACATGCCAATTTAGCCTCAGAAATTGCCCCCTTCACAGGGCTACTTCTCCCATCACGTGACTGCTGAAGAGCATACGGGAACACAGATAATGAGGCTTGATTTTGCCGAAGCCGGATGTGAATGGAAGGTGTCAAGAAATGTACCTGTTGATTAGCCAAAGAGACAAGCTGCCACGCAGGAACCTGGGGGAGGAGAATGTAAGGCCTCCTTTTTTGGAAGGAGAGTTCTGTGACCGACAAGCAGTGGCCCGGACGTTGGGCGTGGTGGGGTCCAGCTCCCCTCTGAGTGAACTTCAGAAAATCCCGTAATCTCCGTAGGTTGGCGTATGCTTCTGTAATCTGACATTGAGACTCTGGCAGCGGGTTTCTGAATATAGAACAAAAATATGTTTATGAAAATGCATTTTTATGGGGAAAAAGTGTTAAGTGCTGGAATATCAAGATCAAAAGCAGCAGACCTTTGTGGGCGATGCACAAACTGGAAATGGGAAAGCCCGGGTTCTTTTCTGGCTCTGTCGGAAATTGGCTGTGGATAATCATTAACCTCCCTGGGCCTTTCCCTGGTGTGAGTTAGGTTATATCATCCTCCGTTAATACCCTCCATGGCTTCCCGTCTCTCATAGAGTCAAACTGCCCCCACCCTCCCCAGCGCCATCTCTTCCCCTTCTGCTTACTCTAGACTTCATCCATTCAATCTGTTTGTGGCCCCCTTGACCCTCACTTCTCACTCAGTTGACACATTTCAGTGAGGTGCTCCCTGACCACCCTATTTAAACTTTAACCCTCGCCCCTTTTTCACTTTCTTCATAGTAGTTCTTACCTCCTAACACAATATAGGTCCCAGGCTAAAAGTCAACGGGTCAGGGGAACTGGTGAGCGGAGTCCCGCCCTTCAGGGCATTTGGATGGATGGCCTCTGAAGCCCCTTCTAAGTCTGATATGCAGCAGTAGACACAGGGAATTTGGCGCTGAGTTTCCCTCCCTTTGAAACCAGAAAGAGTTTCTCCTACCAACTGGGCTGGAGGCATTCTCCCCAGTGACATCTTCCCACAGGGTGACATCTAAAAGTCTTCTGTCCCCCAAAGATGGAATGAGGAGAAACAGCCTTAAATCATGTGGCTTCCATAGGACCTGTGAAAGGGTTCCTATTTTGTGAGCTTGGAGGTGGAGTAGAGTTGCCAGGGGATGTCACAGAAACTTCTCTCTAAGGAGAAGGTGGATACCCTTGGGCCCCGATGCTGTAGACGAAGCAGCATGGAGGCAGGAGGATGGACTTTGTGACCTCTCCAAGTTCCTGCCAGCCCCTTCCAGCTATAATTCTATGATAAAACCATTAGAAGGCCCAGAGGTGATTTAGCCTCATTTCTCCCATCCTGATGATTGAACACATTTTTTAAACCCTATAAACCCTAAACCGTAATTCTTTTACAGCAGAGGGAAAGACAGGACAGTCATGCAAGGGTTGGAGCGGGGGAGTTGTGGGGAGAGGTTAAAGGCAGAGGAAGGGTCGTTTAGATTGTGGTTGTCTTTTTTCATTTGGGGTTGATGGGGTGGGGGGGTCGGTGTTAAACGTGAAGTTTGATGACTGAACAAAAGCAGGGCAAAGGAGGAAAAAGAATGTGGAAAAACTCAAACCTGCAGTTTTCTGATACACAGAAGGGAACCCCAAACTCTGCTCATTACGGTGCGTATTTATGGCCGATCATAACGTGGAATTGCAACGCTGCAGCCTCGGCCGGGAGTGTGGAGTTCTTCCCATGTGCTTCCAATTAAGCGCGTTTGAAGTTGCCCTGGGTATTTATTTGTAGGGGATTTACTGCGCAGAACGATTAAAGTTTGTTCTTGTTAGGAGTTTGGGGCTAGTTTTGGGGGTGGGGGAGGTGGAAAGGGGAGAGTTAGCTGGAAAGAGAAAAGGGGGCTGCCGGGGCACCCTGAATGAATACCTGTATCTGTGTTTTAACGTACATACAAACACACACACAAGGGCCCTTTGTTTTCAACGTGGTGAGGGTCCAACATCTCTGACGGTGATTTTGTTTATAGGAAATCCTTTATAATGCACGTTTAGTGTTTCCATATGGAAATCTCCTAGGACGGTTCCCCGCACCCCCCGCCCCCTCCCCTTTTTTTATTTGGATAAGGCAAGAGAAAAGGGACTGTACATTCCAAAGATTCATAGTCATTCCGGATCAAATTCAATGGATTTTGGCAAGAGTTGAAAAACCCAGATGCAGGCCTTCAGCCTCCCGCTGAGCCGCCTCCAGCTGTGAGTGTCTGGTGGAGGCACTTTGTAAAATCATGAAAACCCTATTAAATTCATGAAATATGATATACTGTCGTTTCAGACTAACTTTCCATTGAACTATCCACGAAGAGAGAATTTGGTTAACTTGCTGGGGACGGGGGAAGTGGCATGGCTGGGGCGGGGTGTCAGGCGGGAGGTGCAATTGAGGAAGGAGGTACTAAGAATTCGTAAGAGGCTGTAAATTTCCGTGTCTGGGTATGAGGGCTCCTTGAGACCCCCGCAGCACCAGGCTTGCTCAAGGTTTGTTTTGACTCTTCTTAGAAAAGGAGGTGGTCACCATGATTCCTCTCCCTGTCAGTCTGCTACAGATTCAACAGGGATCAGTTAGCTGCTGGGATGATTTGTTTCAGAACACAAGAGACCCCAGCAATCCCAAAAGATATTTAGGGTCCATCCTTGTTTTATAGCGGAGGGGCCAAGGGCAGAGGAAGAGACAATGACTTGCCTAAAGTCCAGCAAATTAAACACCCAGAGCTCCTGAATCCCAATTTCGTTCTTTCTACCAAAGCATGCCACGTGCCTGGATGCAGGAGGCTGACCCCTTCACTGGGCACTGGCCCTCTCTGCCTCAGATCAGAGCTGCTGACAATACTGTTTTTTTTTTTGTTTTTTGTTTTTTGCATGAATTCATAGGCCCAGACCCCCTGGCCAGCTATGAAATGTCCCATTTTGAAGAAGCCGGACACTCTGGGTTCATTTCCTATTGGAGTGTAATTCAGATCGTAAAATGATTGCATGTTTATTTTCAAACAGTTCAGCTCCCTGGAGGGGAATTGGTTTTGTTCTCTGGAAATCGCCACAGGACCTGGGCAATTGCAGGAGTTCAGGGGTGTGTGTGTGTGTGTGTGTGTGTGTGTGTGTGTGTGTGTGCGCGCGCGCGCGCACAGAGTTTGCCACACAGGAAGCCAGCTGGGGCACTCCTTCCCCATGTGTCTTGGCACCCTAGGGATCCAAAGCTCAGACTCCTGGAATAGAAGGGTGCACAGAACATACCTAGCCCCCCGTCGTCCATGCAGTGGTCCCTGAAACAGGAATGGCACACTCTGCAAGCAGCAGCACCTCTGACCCAGTTGCCAGGGGCAGCTTTGTGCATGGAAATGATCAGAATGAAAGCTGACTTTGATTGAACGCTTACAGTGTGTTACTATGGCACTGTTTTAAGGGTTTGGCATGAATTAAATCATTTCACCCTAACAACCCTATGAGGTAATACTATTTCCCCCTTTTGCAGATGAGAAAACTGAGGCAAGTTGCCCAAGGTGTCATCACTGACTAAGATCACATAACTAACATAAACGACTGAGCCAGCGTTCAAACCTCTGCAGTCAGGCTGGAGAGCTCGAGCCCTCAAACTGCCCATCCTGCTAGCCACCCCGATACACACAGACCTAAATACCGATGGCAGACACTGAGGTCTTAACTCTCCCCGCTCTCACTCACCTTGGAGGTGGACTCTTTGAATTAAACATTTCACACTCTCTCCTTACCTTTTTGATATGCAAATACCCCTGAGTATGGTAACACATTAAGTCACTAATACTCTAAGCCAGGGTTTCTCAAGCTGTAATAATGGGCATACAAATTCCCTATCAATCTTGTTGAAACGTAGGTTCATTCAGTAGGTCTGTGGAGGAGGCTGAGATTCTGCATTTCTAATGAGCTCGCAGGTGCCGCTGGGCTATGGAACACACCATGAGTAGCAAGGCTCTCTGCTCTTTACCTGATTGTTTTCCTCCACCAAAAGAGGCACCCACGAGAAAGCACATGTACAAGAAGGCAGCTGGGAGGGCCAAGGACATTTCATCAATTTCACAGCAGTGGCTCGAACTAGCCCTCCTGCTGCCCAGCGGAAAAACCACTAGATTTCCAAGATGCAAGGCTCAGGCACTGGGAGACCTGGAGTAGGTGCAGAGTCCTTGGGGCCATGAGAAGTCCTTTGATTGAAAGCTTTGCAGCAGCTGGCAGCAGCCACATGCCACAAGAACAGAGAGTCCAGTACCTGTACCTCTCTGGCAGGGTAGTAATGAGTGTACATAATCACTGGGTCAGGAACAGCCAGCACCAACGCTTCTCTCACATCCTGGGGGGAAGGCTGCTGACCAAAAGGAGCTGGCCCCCTGTGGCAGTTTCCACCTCTTGCTGGAGACTTTAGGCAGACATTTAACCTTTCCGATTCCATTTGTTTAACGTGTAAAATGAGAGGGTTGCACTAGATAATCTTTCAATCCCTCCGCTTCTTTCTATCCCAATCTATGAGCCTATAAATGCCTCTACAATAAATAAAAATCCAGCACGTCATCTAAAAATCCAGCATGTCTAAAGATTCCAACGTCCTATTGCCAACACCACACATCAGGATATCAGATAGAAGCAGTTTCCTCTCCAGCTGGAGGCTGAGCACCATAAACAGCTCTCACATGAACCTGGGCGCCCTGTCCCCTGTCCGCATCTTGGGAAGCAGACTCAGGAGGTCAATTCCCTGCAGTCACAAAACATGCTGCCCGAGAGCCGAGACTGGAAGGCGGGAGGCTTGTCCCCAGGGCTCTGTTCACAGCCAAAACACACCGCCTTGTGTTCCGCCCAGCTCCGAAGGCCTTGTACAGCCAAGAGAAACAGGCGTTTGAGAGCGGGAAGGGGCAGCACTTGACCCCAGGCCTCTTTTGTCTTGACTCTCCCTGGCGAAGGGAGGCAAAGCACTGTGGCGGGCACACCCAGTAGACACTTAGTCCAACAGAGCTGGGCTTGAATCTAGCTCTCCCAGATATGGCTTACGGACTCTCAACCTCTGTGGCTACTGCGAGCATCATTCTTTGAAAGGGCTCAGCGCAGAGTAGGTGGGCAATAAGGTGAAGCCGTTCCTCTGAGTGACAGTCAGTATTAATCAGTCACTCCCCAGGCCTGTTCTCCAATCTGACAGAATCTAAAGGGACCCGTGGACCCTGCATTGCCAAACAACTAAAGATCCAGGGTTCCAGACCAACACTGTCCAATAGAAACATAATGCATGCCATCAATATGTTTAACGTGTAATTTTTTAGTAAAAAAAAAAAGTTTAAAAAATTTTCAGTATATTACATTTAAAAAACAAAAACTAACACTCTCTATTAATTTTAATCATTTATTCAATCTAGCCTAAATAGTACCATTTCAAAATAGTATCAAAATAGTATCATAT